CACTCCTCCCCTTCCCGGAGCACTTCACGAACAACGGCTTGCACACCTGAGGCCGGTCTACCAAAGACCGTGCTGTTCCTTTCCTTCCATAAGGACCAAACGGCTAGCAGTAACATAGAATCGAACAGCGGCCTCTCCACGGAATCGACCCTGATGCGCTGGCGCAACCACCAGGAGGCGACACCCTCATCACGCTCCGGCATTAGGGTGGCTAGCTGCAGAGGATCGAGCAGCGCGAACCACACCTGCTTTGTGAACACGCAGCCCAGGAGCAAGTGTGCAACCGTTTTGGACTCCTGGCCGCACAGCGCGCATGCATCGTCGTCCTGAAAACCATGGCGCATCCGCCGAGCAGAAGTCTACAGACGCTTGTGAAGTGCCAGCCAGAAGAACAACTTCACCTGACGCGGGGCTTTGACCGACCAGAGCTCCTTGGCGCCAAGCAGCGAAGCTGAGCCGTGGAAGAATGCTCTGTAGGTAGAGGAAACCGAGTACTTCCCATCCGCCAACCATTTCCAAATGAAACGATCGGGTTGCAGCGGCCGCAAGTTCACCGAGCGGAGCAACTCCCAAACACGGAGGTAGTCACAGAGCACTTGTGTAGTGGGCGCCCCGGTGATGTCTCTTGCCCAGCGATTGTTGGGGAGGGCATCGCGCAGAACACGATTCCGGCCAGCCCAGGAAGTTGCTGCAAACAAGGCCGGGGCGAATAGGTGAAGGGGTCCGACGGCAGCCCAGCTGTCAGCCCATAGCTTGGTGGACGCCCCGTCCCCGACGATGACAGAAAGGCGCGGCGCACATGGCCAGTACCAGCTTCTCAGCTCTCGACAGCAGGCTCACCCAACAGCGCTGGGGCTCGGCTCTTGACAGCCACTCCCAACGAAGGCGAAGAGCATACCCGAAGAAGCATAGGTCAAGTACTCCTAGTCCTCCCAAACCGGTCGGCCTGCACACCGTTGGCCAAGCAACTCTGCATTTGCCGCCCAAAACCGATTCAGAACCAGCCCAAAGGAAAGCTCGCCGGCGTTTGTCAATCTGCTTGATGGCCCAGTCTGATAGGCAGCAGGCAATGCTCAGGTGCACCGGGATAGCCGACAGGGTGACTTTGGTGAGGAGCACCCTACCGGCATTGGTGAGCAGACCCGTTTTCCATGTCGGTATTCTGGAGGCGACAGCGTCGACCAGTGGCTGCTCCACCGATCACACGGGACCACGCTGACCTATCTACGAGGCCGACGCTCACCTAAGGTTTGACACGAAGCGATGGGTGACGGCTGCATGAACTGAGACGCAGTAGAAGGGCCTCTCCACGACGGCGGGCACCCTACGGCAATGGCGACGGAATTCCGGTGAGCCACATTATTAACGAGGCGGTAGGGATAGCGGGTGAGCAACGGGGACTCACCACTGACCTAGCGGAGGTGATGGTTCAACCGGAGATGCCCCGAGCGAGCATGACCACATGCACGCAGGCGAGCTCGACGACGAACCGCAGCGACAGGGCCGTGCCAGCGACGAGGAGGCAACGGTAGAGGTGCGGCTTAGGTGCGCACGACGAGGAGGGGTTCTAGGCGGGGCTAGTGGTGCAGCTAATTCGGCTCGAGACGTTGAGGAGGGGGCTGGCCTCGGTGAGGGCGGTGACGGGTCTTAACGGCGTGGTGGCAGGGCGAAGCTCCAAATTGGAGCTTGGCCTTGCACGGTTCAAGTCTAGGTGGGGGCGGGCAACGAGAGAACGTGAGAGCACAGGCGCAGGCACGTGGAATTGATGGGGGGTGGCTTCTCGCATGCAGGCAGGCTGGCGCCACTCGGCGGCGGCAGCAAAGAAGAGGACAGGGGATGGGCGAGAGAGGTGGGGACGCAGTCAAGGCTCGGCCTGTGCTTGCTTGGCGGGACGCGGTTGACGTGACCGGAGCGACCACGACCGGCACTAGCCGACGACACGTGCTCGAGGTCGGCGTGGCCCGCGCGCCGCAGTGCCATAAATGGCATGACGACGATGGTTCGGCCTCGTGCGTGCAGCGTCCAGGTGGGCCAGTGGCGCAGCGTAGTGTAGCGTAGCGATGCGATGGCAACGGCGTTGTCGTGGCGCGACACGGAGGGCAACAAACAATGCGCAACAACGGCAAAGAAGCGGGGTAGCGCGCGACGTGGCGAAGTCGGCGACCATCGCCTCGTGGCGGTAGCTCGAGGCGCTGCTGATGATGCGCCCGATCTTGGCGGGCTCGCTCGGCCGCCATCGTGGCCATCGCGCACTTGCACGCCGCACCGAGCACCACGACGTTGAGGCCGCTCGGCATGGTGATTGCGTTCAGCCGGGAAAAATAGCCCGAGAACATGCTGTGCACGGATTTTAAAGCGTTCGAAACAACTACACAATTGATCCAATCCCCAAACCACCTTCACTATTCTAAAGAGGGCACCTTAGGCTATCAACAAGAGCTAAAGGGCAACACAACTCCTAAACTCAATTTTTACAGAATAAATTACCAAACATAGCTTTATCAATATGTTTTGAGACTTAAGAAATTGACTAAGTCTTGAGTTGGATTTGCTTCAAATTCGATTTTCAGCCTATTAGAAATGTTAGCTAGCGTTATTATCTTGTTAAAACAAAAGTTGCACTATCTTCTATAAAATGTGTACTTCAAACTTTATTAAGGTGTCATATATATGTTTTATAGCGTTTTTGTTCAATAAAAATTAGTTAACATCTCTACTTGCTAACTTTATAAATCGTGAATTAACTTTTCGTTTTAAGTTTTTACGACTCGTTTAAGTTACAATGCTTTACCTATCCATCACACCACATGCAATATCACTTATGTATGATGCTCATGACATGTTTTAGCAAGTGATTTATTTCCTTCATACAATTGAGGCATGCACATGTCATATACCGATAGACTACTTAGTGAGGTAGGAGTATTAGTCAAGACAATTGTTCCCCAAGGTCAAGTGTTTGCCTTTCAACTTTCAAAACTTGAAGTGTTTGCCTTTCCATGGTTGTAGTCTTTTCCTTATTTTTCTCAACTATCTCATCAAAACATGTATCCCCAAGTCTTTATCACTGAGGGTAACCCCAAGTGTTTCTTAGTTAACACCACTAATTCTTTTAGTTGAGCTTATTGGCTATCCTTACCTCCTCTTCGTTTTCGCCCAAAAAAATACCTCACTTTTGTGTTAATTGATCTTACGCTTAGTCCACCAAAAGAGGACGATGCCCGGCGCCGCCAACGATATGAAGACTAGGACATGAAACCCTAGCGCTCCCATGCCAAGGGAGCTTCCAAAACAAAATTCCTTGTACTCCTCTCGCCCTCTGGCCTGTAGAAAGGGATCAAGCCCCATACAAATCCGAGAAACCCTAGATCACTACTCTCCCTGTCCCCAAAAGAATGACATCATGGGATACGTGTCGGTCAAAGTTTCTCTAGTTTGACTAGCTTTATAGAAAATATTAGCAACATTTATATTGTTAAATAAATTTATTATGAAAGTATATTCTGCGATTTATCTAACGATACTAATTATATATTACAAATATTAATATTCTTTTATATATAATGGACCAAAGTTAAAAAATGATTGACTTCTCGGAATGTGAGAATGAAATTCTTTGTGGGACGGAGGGAGCATGAGCTAGGCTCTCCTACCATTTCTCTCTGCTCCATTGTAAGAACTCGATTGATAATTCTAATATGAAGAACTAGCAGCTAGACGTAGGGTTTAGACGTTCGAACCAGGATAAATCCATCGTTAGAGTCCCACACATCGACCCATCCATCGAGCCACTAATCATTGTTGTGGTTACGAACCCACGACAATATATATTTTGTCTTAAAAAATTGTTTGACTAAACTCTAAACCCTAAATCCTTACCAGACTAATTGGTATATTTGACCTTTCTCATAAGAAGTAGCCGGAACGCGGGATTTTTTTTGTGCTCCTGTGTTTTTTCTGTGAAAATTAAATTTATTACTGTGAAATTCTTATACACTTACTGTGAAAAACCTATTTTCAAAAGGGGCATGAGATGTTGAGATTCCTAAACTGGGCCATTCTTATAATTTTTTAATTCACATCAAAGAAGTGCCAGCGCGGGAGGATATCCGGTACAAAATTTTCACAATTCACCTACTCCGTGGTACTCAGCCGGGAGAAATGCATCTGGACATTTTTTTAGAAACAAAAATGAATCACGACAGGTGAAACAGCTTCTATCTTACAATACCATGAAACAGCTTTCTATCTTTACATTAATACAATACCATGGAACAGCCCATCGAAAACAGGATACTGGATACAGTTCATCTCAAAATACGGGGGCAGTTGTATCCGTGTGAAAAAACTTGGACCTCATGTCACGAAATGCATGCGCCGCCGCGGCCTGGATGGAGCCAGTAGGATCATCTTCCTACCTTCCGTTTCTGTTCTTCTCCACTGCTTGTGCTTAACCCTGAAGCAAACCCTAATGGAGGATCCTGGCTAACCCGGCTCTTCTAAGCGGGCCAACAAATCCAAATCGTCCCCAGCCAGCAGCCAGCCACAGTGCCAGCCCAAGACTTGAGAGGCAGCAGCTCCAGCAGCCCCACGGCCACGTGAACGCCATGGGGTTATTACCCTCGTTAAAACCTATGGATTTGTAGCATCATCTCAAGAACCCCAGACAAAAATCTCGCTTGCTTAACTTGTGAAACCACTAAGGTAGAAACAAAACCTCCCAAAAAGGGTTGGAAAGCAGATGATAAAAAGCCCACCCGGATCATCCCGAATAGAAGTGTTCAAGTAATCCAATAAAAAATTACATTTCTTTATCCCTCTGCCTTGACGGCGGCGGCGACCATGGAGGGGTGCGGGGCAGCGGCGGAAGGGAACCCGGCGGCGGCGGCGGCGGACGAGCTCGCGAGCGGCGCGGACGCCAGCTTGAATGCCTTCTTTGACCACGCGGTACCCGTTCTCGTTTCTCCCATGGCTGCTGCGGCTGGGGTTGGGTTTGCGACATGGGCGCTAAAAAAATTCGTCCTTTTTTTGGGGTGGTTCTTGCAGGGGTTGGACCTGGCGGCCGCCGGAGGTGGGCAGGGGGCGGACGAAGAGGAGGAGCTGGAGTGGCTCTCGAATATGGACGCGTTCCCTTCGGTGGAGACCATGTCGGCGGAGGTGGAGGCGGCGCCGTCGGCGCCGGCGGCTGGCGTGGGCCGCCTGGAGCCGCTGCCCCACGCGCACGCGGTGGGGCCGAGGACCAAGGGTTTGCGGCGGCGGCGGCGGGTGTCGGCGCCGTGGAGCCTCCCGCCGGTCCTGCCGCCGGCGCCCCCGCCCCCGGCCCCGCCCGCGGCGGCGCGCCGCCGCGGCGCCGGTGCACTCACTGCGCGTCGGAGGAGACGCCGCAGTGGCGGCAGGGCCCCAAGGGGCCCAGCACGCTGTGCAACGCGTGCGGCGTGCGCTTCAAGTCCGGGCGCCTGTTCCCGGAATACCGCCCCATCCTGAGCCCCACCTTCTCCCCGCTGCTGCACTCCAACTCCCACCGCCGCGTCATGGAGATGCGCCGCCACGTGGAGGTGGAGACCGCCACCGCCGGCGGCAGTGCCGGCGCCAGGGCCCGCCGCGCCGAGCGAGCCGCGGCGCGCGCCGCCGCCGCCGCCAAGGGCAAGTGATGATACAGTGACCGGCCGAGAGGGACATGGGTCTTTTGGTTCCTTGGCGATGGAGGATGGAGGTGACTCGAGACCGGCCATGATTACCTTACCTCCGCTCGTTATCTGCGTAGTTTTCCCTTTGCAATTCTAGTTTTGTTAGGACTGGTAGGATTAGGAGGTCGATGAAGCAGCTGCAGACGAGAGAGACAAGAGCGTCATCGTGATCAAATGTTCTGTGCAACCTTGCTTCTGCTGTAACAAGACTCATGGAGTCATGGCGATGAGCTTGTGGGACTGTGTCCCTATCTATCCAGCGCCAAACTGGATAAGCGCTTGTCAGGTCACCTCGCCTGTTATTACTCCTCAGTCCATCGGCCATCGCAGCGCAGTAGGGATGGGACATGGGAGGGTCAATCATCGAGAGCATCTGAGCATACATGGGGGGCGACATGCCACTCACCGGCCTTGCCTTTCCACCTCGCTAGGCGCATACGTTTTTGACGGGTTTTGCTTCCGTCTCCCCGTGATTGAGGCCGGCAAATCACGCTCATCCATGTGATACTCTCCAACTACACGGAAGAGAAGAGACGGCTGCCTTCGTGGCACTGGCACGGTGGCACCGTCCGCGGATATGCTCTGCTCAGTGACGGTCGTGCAGCGCTTCCTGGCATTCTTCTTTCATCTTTCCTCCTGGCTGGCTGGAACTGGAATTGGCAACTGGCAACTGGCAACCTGCTCGCAGTCGCTGAGTCGCGGCCTTCCAGAGCCAAGGAGGTCGGCAGGTCGCAAAGCCTAAACCGGGCAAAGCTTATCACTGCATTGCATCCTCAGTGTCACAGGCCAGAACCCACATGGCGTTGCATTGCAACTTTGCTTGCTAGCAGCTGCTGGGTCTCAGCCGTCGTTGCAGCGCACGGCCCTGGCATTAGTTTGGCGAGCAGTGGCAGGAGCAAATGGAGTCTTTATGGCGGCAGAAGAGGGTACGACGACCCCAGGCGCATGTGGGCTGGATGTGGTGCTGCACTGCTTGCTGGTACTACCATGCTCGCTACTGTTTGCTTGGATTGTGCACTCGCAGGACCTCCGGATTCACAGAACTCACCTCTGCTTTCCACTGCCCTGTGAGCGATTGCCGCTTGAATGATGCCGGGGTTTGATGTACTCTGCGTAACCATGTTCCCGCGGTGTTTTTCCCCCTTCAGACTTGCATAAAATGCAACATAACCTTTGCTGACCCAATAACTTGCGTTTCAGGTCCGGTTTGGTTCTCGAGGAATCGAAAAGTAATCTAATAATAAAATGGAAAGTATTTTCTAGATATTAGTTTCAATTCATGGGATCTAAACATATTAGAGTGGCGCTAAGAGATTATTTATATCCTTCCTAATTTATGAAAATAGAGATTTTTGTGAAACAAATACCCTCCAACAACCCTTTTAAATGGATCTCCAAATAACATATGTTATTTCGGATTTCTAGCTAGTCACATATGGTAAACGATCATTGCTCTCTATAGTGTGCACGAGACATATAAAAGTTGTCGCACCTTCAGAGAGGCAGCTGTCGCACCTGTCGACCTCATCTCGGCCATCAGAGCAGAAGCAGATCGCTGCAGATCGCTTGGCAAAAGCCGGAGCTTCAGGACTGTCCAGCTTGGCGATGCCGGGCGCAGGATAGAACACAACGACAAACCCGTGCTCGCAGATAGTTCTTAACGGCCATGTAATCTCTTTTAAGTTCTTGTTGCCGGGCGGGCGTAGGCCATTTGTAACCTAAACTCTCTTCCTTCTTAATACAAATGATACACATGCTCTTGCGTATTCAAGAAAAAGACATAGAAAAGTTGTTGTAGGGTACACAGATATAGAAAAGTAGTATTTACTCAAGTGAATATTATACTTTAAAGAGTAAATTTTAGAAAGACTCTTGGAAAATTTCTTAGTGTGTTTTATGAGATGGAAATTATAGCAATTCGGTAAGGTTCTCAACCAAACTAAAAAGTTTGCTTATACCTTCTGGTTAAGATAAAAAACAACGTTATAGGACATAGTATCATCACTTGGCACTGACAAGTCATATATGCTTTTTGACTTAGCACGGGATTTGAACAAAAGTGAATATCAAGTCGTTCTTGATTTTTTTCACTTAGCCGTGAAAATGAAACCAAGTGAATGTTTCACGCAGAAGGAACCACTTTTTTTTTTAAAAAATAAACTTTGTTTATCCACCAACTGCTGTAAATCAACCATGGGACACATCGTCATCTGATATTCACATGACGAAGTCCTATTTTGGTTTTGGACGGCGGTTAAACCAAAGATAATAAGATGCACGTGAAATAGACTTTCTTGAAAAAACCTTTTGCTGTTAGCTTCCGGCCGTTGCACGTAAAGGCCTGATGCCAAACTCATCGAAGATGCACACACTGACAGTCTGACACACACCAAACGAAGGATTCGCGAAGGACAGCCCGAGTCTCATCAGTTTCACCAGCCGCCCACCAAACTTGGCAAACTTTCCTCTTCCCCTACCGCGCGGCTCTCCCTCCCGCAGGCGCACAGCAGCCGAACGCGGAAGCCCAGAAAATTTCCCCTCTCCCCCCGTGCAATGCAATCCGCCGCGGCGGCCGCGCCCTCCGCCCTGCCGCACAGCGTCTTCCCCAAGGACTCCCGCCCGCTCCCGTGCCTCCTCCTCACCTCCCTACTGCTGCTGCTGCTGACCCTCCACCTCCTCGCCTCCTCCTCCTCCACCGCCCCCTCGCCGCCTCCTCCACCACAACCCCGCCTCGCGCCGCTCCCCTCCGCAGCCTCCGCGGGCCCCGCGCCGCCCTCGCTAGCGTTCCTCCTCACGGGATCCGCGGGCGATGCAGACCGCCTCCAGCGGCTTCTCCTCGCCACCTACCACCCCCGCAACGTCTACCTCCTCCTGCTCGACCGCGCCGCCTCCGCGGACGACCGCGCACGGCTCGCTCGCAGCGCGCGGGCTGCCCCCGGCCGCGCCAACGTCCATGTCGTCGGGGACCCCGGGTTCGCCAACCCGCGCGGGGCCTCCGCGCTCGCCGCCACGCTGCACGGCGCCGCGCTGCTGCTGAGGGTCGACCGGGGCTGGGACTGGTTCGTGCACCTCGACGCCGATGAGTACCCGCTTGTGACACCCGATGGTGATTCCTCTCTACACCTATCCTGCTACATTTTGGTGTATATATGCGGTAGACCCTAGTGTTCCTGAGATTTTTTATGTAGATCTATGTATTTGGGTGATCAGAAGAGTATTTATCTATATCTATTTTGTTTTAATAGATTGTTAATGTTTGCATGAAATGTTCTGTAGTTTGTTTAACATTGATAGATCTGTCTGCAACTCTGGATTTGGCATTATCAAGTAGGTGAATCAATTTATTGTACATGATAGTTCCCTTACAGAAGATCATGCTAATGCATGAGAATGGATATAGAAAGGTTTGAAAGAATGGGGCTAGGATGGATTTAAGGAATATAACTCGTTTTTTTGGTAGGTCTCTAAAGGAACAGGTTGAAACTAAATAATCAGTTTGTTGTATCATCTTATGCCGATTCACCACCAACAACAACAACAAAGCCTTTAAGTCCCAAACAAGTTGGGGTAGGCTAGAGTTGAAACCCAGCAGGAGCAATCAAGGTTCAGGCACGTGAATAGCTGTTTTCCAAGCACTCCTATCTAAGGCTAAGTCTTTGGGTATACTCTATCCCTTCAAGTCTCCTTTTATTGCCTCTATCCAAGTCAACTTCGGTCTTCCTCTGCCTCTCTTCACGTTACTATCCTGGCTTAGGATTCCACTACACACCGGTGCCTCTGGAGGTCTCCGTTGGACATGTCCAAACCATCTCAACCAGTGTTGGACAAGCTTTTCTTTAATTGGTGCTACCCCTAATCTATCACGTATATCATCGTTCCGAACTCGATCCCTTCTTGTATGACCGCAAATCCAACGCAACATACGCATTTCCGCGACACCTATCCGTTGAACATGTCATCTTTTCGTAGGCCAACATTCGGCACCATACAACATAGCAGGTCTAATCGCCGTCCTATAAAACTTGCCTTTTATCTTCTGTGGTACCCTTTTGTCACATAGGACACCAGATGCTTGGTGCCACTTCATCCACCCTGCTTTGATTCTATGGCTAACATCTTCATCAATATCCCGCCTCTCTCAGTAGCATTGATCCTAAATATCGAAAAGATATCCTTCCTAGGCACTACTTGACCTTCCAAACTAATATCTTTCTCCTCCCGAGTAGTAGTGTCAAGTCACATCTCATATACTCAATTTTAGTTCTCTCGAGTCTAAAACCTTTGGACTCAAAGTCTCTCGCCATAACTCAATTTCTGATTCACTCTGTCCAACTTTAATCAACTAGCACTACATCGTCCGCGAAAAACATACACCAAGGGATGTCCCCTTGTATGCCCCTTGTGACCTCATCCATCACTAAGGCAAACAGATAAGGGCTCAAAGCTGACCCTTGATGTAGTTCTATCCTAATCGGGAAGTCATCCGTGTCTCCATCACTTGATCGAACACTAGTCACAACATTGTTGTACATGTCCTTAATGAGCCCGACGTACTTCGTTGGGACTTTATGTTTGTCCAAAGCCCACCACATAACATTCCTTGGTATTTTATCATAAGCCTTCTCAAGTCAATAAAAACCATGTGTAGGTCCTTCTTCTTCTCCCTATACCGCTCCATAACTTGTCTTATTAAGAAAATTGCTTCCATGGTTGACCTTCCGGGCATGAAACCAAATTGGTTCATAGAGACCCGCGTTATTGCTCTCAAGCGATGCTCGATAACTCTCTCCCATAGCTTCATAGTATGGCTCATCAACTTAATTTCCCGGTAATTAGTACAACTTTGAATATCTTCTTTATTCTTGTAGATCGGTACCAATATACTTCTCCTCGACTTGTCAGGCATCTTGTTCGATCGAAAAATATGGTTGAACAGCTTGGTTAGCCATACTATAGCTATGTCCCCGATGCATCTCCACACCTCGATTGGGATACCATCCGGTCCCATCGCCTTACCTCCTTTCATCCTTTTCAACGCCTCTCTAACCTCAGATTCTTGGATTCTCCACACAAAGCGCCTATTAGGAAAAAAATTCACTTCATCAATAAAAGCATGCTCATGTTAGTATTTTTATTGAATTAACACTCCCAACGATTAATGGAAGTGTCACGCTAGAGTTTGTAAATAAGATTGTATTAGCTAGCTTTACTCCTGGCCAATATTTTTAAATTTCCTGCCCTGTTTTTTTTTAGTTTGGAAATAATGCAATTAGAATGGGGGACATAATTTGTCCCACAAAGAATATTGTAGTCTTAGTCAATCAATGCTTTCGATTGGTTTTCATTGAGCTTGGGCAGCAGATTTTTTTTTTCTAAGGTTTATGCTATTACTGCCTACTTGAGTCCTATGCACCTAGCATGCATTTATGAATGGAGCTTGAAGCCATGGGAACTTGCTACTTTAATCTTATCAGGGTTTACGATAGCTGTTTGTTATTTTTACTCATTTATGTCATAAATTGTTGACAGTTAGTGGAAAGGTATTAGTTTATGAAGGTAACTTGATTTCCAAATTGTTTGCAGACCTCCTGCATGTTTTTTCATACCTACCGAAGGATCTCAACTTCATTCAGCATACTAGCTATATTGGTTGGAAGGAGTAAGGGCACTTTATCATTTTTGGTTCTAGTCTCTCTCTCAATTTAGGGCTGGAAGTTATTTACATTGTCTGTCTGTCTCTGCATCCAGGGAAAGACAAATAAGGCCAATCATCGTTGATCCTGGTCTATATCTCTCATCCAGGAATGACATTTTTTATGCCACCCAAAAGCGTGATCTGCCAAATGCTTATAAACTGTTTACAGGTGAGGGAGTACTGTCTTTAATCTATCACTACCGCATGACTCAATCCAAGGGTTGAGGCATGGAAGCACTCCCCATACTTTTTTTCTCTTTTATTTGTCAGTACATAACGTTAGAACAATACAGAATAAAATGCTTTATAACGTCAATAGTCAAGTGATACACAGTTGACCAAGAACAGTGGTGACACGGTCCAATTATTCTGTTGTTGATGCCTGTTATATGATTACCAGAGCAAAGCATGCTTTTGTGAAAAACTACCTCTGTTGTGACCCAAAAAATGATTGCACTCACTTTTTTGAAACTTAGCCACAAATATACAAAAGGGATATTTAGATTTATAATCTGGAAATTCCATCATTAGATTTTTCACCAAGTAATGCCCGAGGTTTGTATCGTCCAAAATGGTAATTAAGTGAAGTTATTTTGGGGTGGGCATGGGTTTGTTACCAGTTAACTTTCTTACGTTGATTATCATTCAATCGGCAAGGGCTATGATAGCTAAGATTCTACTGGTTTGTTTGGTATGATGCACATGGTCATTGTTAATTTACAAGATCATTTAATTCTTTAAGTGCTCTTCTTGTTGATGTAAACTGTGGTCACTAATTCAATTAAGTTATAGATTTGAAGGCTGGCCATTTGAACTTTTAAAATGGAAGATCAATGTAGGTAGGACATAGGGTATCATCAGGGACCCTTCAGTAAGCTGGTCATTTGGTTTGCTGACCATATATATCCCTATTTAACTAAATGAAATGTCTCAAAGTCAGGGTTTCTATCAGCATTTCAATTTTTTAGCTGCCTTGTCTATTTAAAGGGCATAAACTGATAATCTTTGCATGGTGCTTTACTTCAAATATCAGGGCATTTGTCTAGCATATTGAAAATTGTATTGAATTTCTGTAATTTATTGAATATTGGTACACAATGTTTTTTATTAATCCTTTCACTAAGCCTTACTCTTGGGACACTTGCAGACAAACCTTATGTTTTTGTGGCAATTCAAAGTATTCATAAACTAAGAAATTGGATGGCGATATGTATTTTATATTCATAGCTGATTTGCAAACTTACAGGAAAGAAATTTGAGTTGTATCGTGTTTCTTGGCTCGTGGCACATAACCCTGGAATTCATTGTTGTATGATTTGAAAAGACCCCACCATATCCTACTCATGCCCAAACTGGTGTGTCTGTCCCACTTGCAACCCCACTTTGTCTTATTTGCAAAAAAAAAATTTGACCAGTCATGGACAAGAAAATGAATTTTTGCAGGCCAGAACTTCGCGCCTGCTTTGCATAACCAATTATGGCCGGGTTTAGAACTGTATCACCATAAGACCTTGGCCCTTGGGCTATGTAACATTAGTCATGAAATGCACTGATTTCTACAAGACTTCATCTGTGTCCAGTTGTCCACAGAACCTTGACATCTTATGATAATATGTTTAACTCAACATTAACAGATGTTTATGTATTCAAAACGCCCTATGCTTTTATTATTTTCCATGTATTGCTTGTGTGTTTTTTTGGTGCTGTTACTGTTCTAGAATAATTTCTAACTGACTTTACGCTTATATACAAGAGCTTACCAGCATGCTATTGTCCGTAGATATAGCATCATATTTTTAAGATTGAATTTCCTGGCTCATGGCACATAACCCAGGAATTTATGGTTGTATGATTTGAAAAAGGCCCCACCATATCCCAATCACACCTAGACTGGTGTGTCAGTCCCACTTGCAACCCCACTGTCTTAGTTGCCTAATTCTTTTGACTAGACAACATGGACAAGAAATGATTTTTTGCAGGTCGGAATGGCACACCAGCTTTGGCATGATTGGGTTATGGTCTGGTTTTAGAACTGTATCACCATACCACCATAAGACCTTGGGCTTTGTAACATTATCCATGAAATGCAGCAATTTCTACAAGACTTCAAGTCTTCAAGTATGTCCATACTCCATAGAGCCTTGACATCTTCTGAATTAATAATATGTTTAACTCTACATTAACTACCGTTTACTATTCAAAATGCCCTATGCTTTTATTATTTTCCATATTTGTGTGTGTTTTTTCCTTGTGTCACTGTTTAAGAATAATTTCTAAGCAACTTAGAACTTACTATTCTATACAAGAGCTTATCAGTGTGCTATTCTCTGTAGATATAGCATCGTATTTCTAAGATTGAATTTCTTGGCTCATGGCACATAACCCAGGAATTTATGTTGTATGATTTGAAAAGGCCCCACCGTATGCGAATCATGCCAAGACTGGTGTGTCGGTCCCACTTGCAACCCCACTTTGTCTTAGTTGTCAAAGTTTTGTTGACTAGACAACGTGGACCAGAAAATGATATTTTTGCAGGTTAGAACATCACGCCAGCTTTGGCGTAATTGGGTTATGCCGGGATTTAGAACTATATCACCATATGACCTTGGGCTATGTTTCATTAGCATGAAATGCAGCAATTTGTACAAGACTTCAACTATGTCCATAGAGCCTTGACATCTTCTGAAATAATAGTATGTTTAACTTAACATTAACTACCTATTGCGTATTCAAAATGCCCTATGCTTTTATTATTTTCCATGCATTGTTTGTGTGTTTTGGATCCCCCCCCCCCTCTGGTGTCCCTGTTTTAGAATAATTTCTAAGCAACTTTACTATTCTATAGAAGAGCTTACCAGTGTTCTATTTCCGTAGATATAGCATCGTATTTCTAAGATTGAGTTTCTCGGCTCATGGCACATAACCCAGGAATTTATGTTGTATGATTTGAAAAAGGCCCCACCGTATCCTAGTCACGCCAAGACTGGTGTGTCGGTCCCACTTGCAACCCTACTCTGTCTTAGTTGCCAAAATTTGTTGACTAGACAACGTAGACAGGAAAATGATTTTTGCAGGTCGGAACATCACGCCATCTTTGGCATAATTGGGTTACGGCCGGGTTTTAGTTTAGGTACCACCATAAGACCTTGGGCTAGTGTAACATTAGTCATGAAATGCACCAATTTCTACTAGACTTCAATTAATGGCACAGAACTTGGACATCTTTTGAAATAATGCAATGTTAACTCCAACATTAACTACCATTTATGTATTCAAATTGCCCCATGCTTTTATTATTTTTTGTATATTGCTTGTGCGTTTTAGATTTTTTTCTGGTGCTGTTACTGTTACTGTTTTATGATAGTTTGTAAGCAACTTTATTCTTCTATACAAGAGCTTACCAGCATGCTATTATCTATAGATATAGCATTGTATTTTTAAGATTCAAATTCTTGGCTCTTGGCACATAACCCAAGAATTTATGGTTGTATGATTTGAAAAAAAGGCCCCACTGTATCCCAATCACGCCAAGGCTGGCATGTCAGTCTCACTTGCAACCACACTCTATCTTAGCCGCCAAATATTTTTTTGACTAGACAATGTGGACAAGAAAAAAATTTTGTAGGTTAGAACGTCACGCCTGCTTTGGCGCAATCGGGTTGCGACAGGGGTTATAGAACTGTATCACCACAAGACCTTGGTCTATGTAACATTAGTAATGAAATGCACCAATTTCTACAAGATTTCAACCATGTCCATATAACCTTGACTAATTCTGAATTGGTAATATGTTTAACTCAAAGCTAACTACTGTTTATGTATTCATAATGTCCTATGTTTCATTATTTTCCATATATTGCTTGTGTGTTTTGGTTTTTTTTTTTCTGTTGCTGTTACTGTTTTAAAATAAATTCAAACTAACTATACTCTTCTATACAAGAGCTTACCTATTGTCCGTAGATATAGCATTATAATTTTAAGAATGGATTCTTGGCTCATGGCAACCTAGGAAAATTATGGTTGTATGATTTGAAAAAGGCCCCACCGGATCCCAATCACACCAAGACTGGTATTAGTCCACTTGCGACCCCACTGTCTTAGTTACCAAAATTTTGTCGACTAGATAACGTGGTCAAGAAATTGATCTTTTGCATGTTGGAACGTCTTGCCAGCTTTGGCGTAATTGGGTTATGGCTGGGTTTTAGTACTGTATCACCATAATACCTTGGGCTATTGTAACAGTGGTCATGAAATGCAGCTACAAGACTTCAACTATGGCCACATAACCTGGCCATTTTTTTTAGATAATACTATATTAAAACCAACATTACCTACCGTTATGTATTCAAATTGCCCCATGCATCATGCATTTACTATTTTTTATATATTGCTTGTGTTTTAGAATTTTTTCTGGTGGTGTTACTGTTTCAGGATAATCTGTAAGCAACTTTATTCTTCTATACGAGAGCTAAGCATGGTATTCTCTATAGATATAGCATCATGTTATTAAGATTGAATTTCTTGGCTCTTGGCACATAACCCAGGAACTTATGGTTGTATGAATTGAAAAAGGCCCCACTGCACGCCAATACTGGTGTGCCAGTCCCACTTGCAGCCTCACTCTGTCTTAGTCGCCAATATGTTGACTAGATAGACACGTGGACAAGAAAAAGGTCATCACTAGACCTTGGGCTATGTAACATTAGTCACGAAATTCACCAGTTTCTACAAGACTTCAACTATGGCCATAGAACTGGACATCTTTTGAAATAATACTATGTTTAACTCAAACTTTACCCGTTTATGTATTCAAAATGCCCCATGCCTTTATTATTTTTCCATATATTGCTTTTGTGTTTGGGATTTTTTTTCCTGGTGTTACTTTGTTATGTTCATTTCTAAGAAACTTTACTCTTCTACTCAAGATCTTACCAGAATGCTGTTATTTATAGATATAGTATCATGTTTTTAAGATCGAATTTCTTGGTTCAAGTCACGTAACCCTGGAATTTATTGAGGCATTGCATTAAGAAGAACTTCTCACGCAGGTCGTGAAAACCCCCGAACCCTTGCCCCACTCATACACAGCGGCACCGTAGCCCATGTGAGAACGACCGGGGCCAGGCCTTAGACCTGTGCTTTGGCGTGGGACAGACGAGGGGATTTTTTTAATCCCAACCTGAAAATTCGCTCCCACAGGAGTCAAACTCAGCACCTGAGGAGTGCTACTCGGACCACCTAACCAACTCAGCTAGAGGCCGTTTCGCATAATTTTGAAAAACATATCCTAAGGAGGCCAAGGCTGATTTGGCAGTCCCACCTACAGCACCACTCTATCATAATCGCTAAAATTTTTGTCGACTAGCCAATGTGGATGACAAAATGATGAGGCAGGTTGGAACATCATGCTTGCTTTGGCGTTCTTGGGCTACAATCTTTGTTTAAGATCTGTGTAACCATTAAAACTTGGTCTATGTCACATAAGTCAGGAAATCCTTTATGCAAGACTTCAACAAGGACTATGACACCTGGACTTCTTCTGAAATACTCCCTCGTTCCAAATTATAAGACTTTAGCTTTTCTAGATACATTTTTTTTACTATGTATATTTGGACATAGTGTATATCTAAGTGCGTAGCAAAATCTATGTATCTGGAAAAGCCAAAACATCTTATAATTTGGAATGACGAGAGTATATGCTATGGTTGATGCCAACATTAACCTACATTTATTTATTTCCTTGACAAAAAATGCCCTTTTTATTTTCTTTATATTCCTTGTGCAATTTGATTTTTTTTCCACTGTTACTTTTTTCTTGTCCATTTCTAAGAAAATATACTCTTCTATATACAAGAGCTTACCAAAATGCTACTGTCTATAATATTGTGTTTTAAGATCAAAATTCTTTGGCTTATGGCAACCTTTGATTTTGTGGTTGTATGATTTGAGAAAGGCTTGACCATAGCCTAACAACACCAAGGCTGGTGTGGCTGTGTGGCAGTCCCAACTTGAGTTGCTAAAATTTGTTGACTAGTCAATGTCGATGACAAAATGATGTTGCGTGTTGGAAGGACATGCACATGCCTGCTATTGCTGTTGGATTACGGCTGGGCTTTAGAACTCTATGACTAAATTTTTTTGTGTTATGTAACATGAATAGGGAAATCCACCAATTTCTGCAAGGCTTCAAAGTATGACCTTAAAACCTGTTTTTCCTTTAAATAAATACGCTATTTGAGTTCCATTTGACCACCATTGTGTTACCTTGACACAAAATGCCCCTTTTTCTTTTATTGTTTTCTGTCTATTACTAGTGTACTTTGGATTGCTTCTGTTATTGATATTTCTGTAGGTTCATAAACTATGGTACACTCCTGTAGTCCTGTATAAGAATCTTGGGATGTAAAATGATGATGAATACCATATGAACTCTAAGGCAGATGGATAGAACATTCTGTTTCAAGGATATGCATATGCATGAAATGTCTTAAGATTAAATTTCACAAAATGCCAGGTTGTATTGTATTGACATTGGTACAGAACCCTATATTTCTTGGATTTCTTATTATGTCTACTCTGGTTTTGTGGACATTTGTCTATAATAGTTTTGTTATTGTACCATTGATATAATTCATTAGGTGTCCTCCCTTACTGATCTAAGAAAAGGACATGTTTTTCTATCGCTAGACACAAAACCTTCAATAAAAAGATTTCAAAACATAAATGAGAGTTGAAGATGTCCACAGATTTCTTTGTGATCTTCAACTTCATCAGATGACAGTGACAACACTACATAGCTGCTACACATCATTGTTTAGTGCTATTTGACTTGTTTCTTGTTTGTTGTATTGATAGTTTACTCTGTTTTTATTTATGTCTAAGGGTGTCTATTGTTTCCTTGCAGGCTCTTCGTCTGTTATCCTTTCTCGGAAATTAATTGAATATTGTATTGTTGGTATGGATAATCTGCCAAGAACTCTGCTGATGTACTACACTAACATGCCCTTGCCACACAGGAAGTATTTTCAGACAGTTCTTTGCAACTCCCCTGAATTCAACAAGACTGTAGTTAACCATGATCTGCACTATTCAACATGGGATGCTCATTCCAAAAACGAGCCACGCCTACTGACTATAGATGATGTAGAAAATATGACCGATAGTGGTGCAGCCTTTGGGACTAGATTTCCGAAAGATGATCATGTGCTTGATCACATTGATGCTGAAATTTTACACCGCCTTCCTGGAGAGCCAGTTACAGGAGGATGGTGCATAGGTGTTGGCCATGACAGTCCATGCGACATTTCAGGTAACCCAGATGTTCTTAGACCTGGGCCTAAAGCTATAAAACTTGCTAAGTTCCTTGCTGAAAGGCTGTCATATCAGAACTTTTATGGCCATCAATGTATATGGGATTGATAATTGTATAATTTCATTATCAGGGAACCCGATCTTTCAGGTTATGCGTTTGCGGTTTGCTTCATAATGCTGTGCATTTCGTTCGCCATCAGTTTATATGCTGTCTAACCTTGTTTCCTTGTAATCCACGCTAGTTGATTCTTCTGTGATAACCTAAAACAATATAATTGAATCATAAGAAGAAATGTTGGACAATAAGCAGCTTTGGTGGCATCGTATTTGATATGAAGCAAAGTTGTGGTAGGCGAGAGATGAAACCACACGGGAGAAGTACTAAATATGTTTTTAAATATAGAAAGGGCCTTTTTTTTTTTGGCTCTGGCTTCAGATCTAGCAATAGCATTTGCAGAGGAGTGGAGTCGTTTTTGGGTGAGAAACTAGAGCTATAAAAAGTAGATTCTCCTCAAGTGTTCTGGCTCCTCTAGCTCTTGAGGAGTGCGAAGCGAGCCCTAAAATGCATCAATGTAAAGAACGATGGCCCAAGGTCCTGGGTGATTTTTCTCGTATTTTAAAAGGCTTTATAACACCTTTCCCTCAGACTTCGATAAACGCCCTTTTGTAACGATGGCCCAAGGGGTGATTTGGGTTTTAAAAATTTATAAAGCGATAAACCGTAAACTATCGAAATTCTAAACCTCTAAAGCTTATTAACTCCTAAGTTCTTCATCAAAAGCAAACTAGCGAGTCTTTAGAGCCAACAAGATAACCATATATTTTTTTTTTATCAAGGTTCACAGTAAGATTTCTTATCAAGGTTCACACTATGATTAATATCCTTCGAGTGGGTAAATGAAACCTGTGCTAACCACACACTAACAAGAATTCTAGTTGCACTTAATGAAACTTGCAAGCAAATAAAATAAAGTAAATATAAAAGAGCAAGGTAAACAAATAGCCAGATTTTCGTCTTGTTTTTAAGCACTACTTCAGTAGTAATTTTCAGCGAAGGAACAATGTTTTTCTCTCACAACAAATCAGCATAAGCAGCAGCATAAGCCAAATTTCTCGTGGTTTAGGGTTATTGTCACACCAAGAGTAACATGTCAGACTCCAAAAACCAATCAAGAGCACCGATGGCACTCTAGGCTAACACTCAACGTCACCGAATAGCTTGGGTGGCTCTCCAATATTTCACAATCCACGTGCTGGCATATAGGGGGGAAGAGTAGCTCTAATGAGTCTAGCCGGGGATAATATTTATATAGAGGGTTAAGAGACTACTAGCCGTTGAAAAACATTGACAGATACAGTGAGCATTGGATGATCCGTCAAACTATCTCAAATTCAATGTCTTGAACCCCCTTAATAGTACGATCAAAGAAAAACAAAGACATTACACACTTCTTAGCGAATGCCGCCCCAACGACCATAGTCCACAATCGCTTCTAGAGTGTGCTTAGCCTTCATGTAATGCTTTGCGCAAAGCTCGTTTAGACGCCAAATCATGGGGCCACGTCATTTGTGGGCTCGTGGCCATTCTCACTTCTTTGGGCAAACACATGTTAATCATACATACTTGTGTTCACAATCACTAAAACTCCAACAGGCGGGCCATAAACTTGTGACGGGTGCCACTTATGTCCATCAACTCTGAAAATGTATTTATAGATCCATTAACTTTTAAGGTTGTTCAATGCATGTCTATACCCTTCGTTTGTGTCTGGTTCTGACATGGCATCACCACCGCGGCACATACGTGAGCATTGACTGTTGAGTCAGGACTTAATTTTGTAGCTTTGCTCCCTGTCTTCGTCTGCAAACGAAATAACAGCGCAGGATGAGTTCACTGGAACATACGTGCCACCAAGAGAAACAACAGGCACCGCCATATCCATGCGGATTCCTCATCTCGTCCTTCAGGCTACGGTCAACTTCTCCAAGAGCCATGAAACTTGGCCATGGCTGAGCGGCAGCCCCAGTAGGACATGGACATTGTCGGCTCCCTCCTCCCCGCACGACAGGAATAGAGCCACCTCCTTCTCGGGCAATGTCATGGGCCGCACGCTGCAGGTAGGCCCCACCCAAAGTCGGTAGCACGGAACGACAGCTGCGATCACGCCGTGGTGAGCAGCATCGACGCCAGTGATCGCCAGGCGCGCGTCACCTCGAATTCTCGAAGTAGTCCTGGACCACATTAGCCATTAGGGAGTCCCAGCAAAACTGAGTCAGCTAGCTATTTTGAGGAAAGAAGAGGTGTCTAAAAAATCAAGCCAGCGACGAACTCGTCGCTCATCTATTTGTGTCTCACGAGACAAAAAAAAAAGCTACGCAGTTTCTCTGCTTTTGGAGCATGGACCAGCAGTATAGGTGGGGTAGAGAAAGTATATTGAATAAAAAGTTCTTGCAAGTGGGACCCACGTAAGTTGACGTGGCACTAAATAGCTAGCAGGTGACTCTTTCCATTGAGGACGCCCTTAGGCCTCCGTCGCAGCCTCTTGCGGCACGACGCCCGGCAACGACACCGCTAGCTCCACCGTGGGGCATGCCGCACCAAGGCAACTAGTGACATGCTCTACTAGGAATTTAGATACTTTCATATTTAATTTAATCTATAAAAAATAATAGTAAATTTGTAACAATATAAATGTGCACGTGTGAACCACTCCCTCCATTTCAAAATGCTAATAATCGTATTAGACCACATAAAACCAGAAAAAGAAAAGAAAAAGGGCATTAACATCCCGCTCAAAATAACCAGGCGGACAGAAAAACAAAAAAAAAAAACGAAAAAGTGGAAAAAAGATATTGATGGATGAAAAAAATTAGATGTATTTATTAAGAATAAAAAAAGCAGGTTGGAAGAAACACTTCCCTCTTTATATATCTATAAATTATGTATATGTCATTATAAAACAAGAGGACGGTAGAAAGACGCGAGCAGATACAGATTCAACATTCATGGAGTTTTAGAGGAGGTGGACGAAAAAAAATAGCCGAAAATTTTGCTTTATGGATATATAATAGATAGATACTCACAAAAAATATATAGATATAGATAAAGATAGAAAGAGAAATAGATAGATAGATATATCTATAGATATAGATACTTGTAAAAAGAAGAATATAGATATAGATAGAGCTATACAAATAGAAAAGGTTACAAAACAAGATTTTTTTTTTCTGTTCCAAGTGGATGCTAAAGCATGCAAGTGCCAAACGGCACAGGCGTCGGGCACGCGTGCATGTCAAAATATACTAGTCACCAGCGGACTCACAGAACACACCACACCAGCAGGCCATTCACGTCTCGGACAAGCAGCTTGTTGCAATGGGTCACGAGCAACAAGAGCGCGGCAGTGGCCACCTCCTGCTCTTCCCGTTCCTGGCGCAAGGCCACCTCATCCCGTTCCTCAACCTGGCCAAGCGCTTAGAGAGCCTCGGGCAGCGTGGTGGCAGCGGCCACCGCCGTCTCGCGATCACCGTCGTCAGCACGCCTCGCAACGTCGCCAGCCTCCAGCGCGCGCTGCCGGCCGGATCGTCCATCGGCTTCGCCGAGCTGCCGTTCTCGCCGTCGGACCATGGCCTGCCACCCGACGCCGAGAGCGCCGACGCCGTGCCCCTCCATGCCTTCCCAACTTTCACCTTAGCGACGGAGCTGCTCCGTCCGTCATTCGAGAAGCTCCTGACTGAGCTCGCGGGGAGAGAAGGGCGCAAGAACGTGTGCGTCCTCGCGGACATGTTCCTGGGCTGGACGGCCGAGACCGCCCGCGCGCTCGGCGTCCAGCACCGCATGTTCCTCACCAGCGGCGCCTATGCCTCCGCCGTCATCTTCTCTATCTGGCTCCGCCCGCCATCGTTCCCGCGCTCCGCCGGCCCTGACGACGAGCTTGCGCTGACAGACTTCCCCGACGTGCGTGTCCGATACGCGGAGTTCCTGAACGTGGTCGTCAAGGAGGACTACGCCACCGACCCCATGCTGGCGTACCTATGCCGGACGATCACCCTCCACTTCTGCCACTCGGGCGGCATCCTCATCAACACCTCGGAAGAGATCGAGCCGAAAGGTCTTCACCTCATCGGGAAGCTCTCCGGGCTGCCGACTTTCGCCGTCGGTCCCATCATCGGCGGCCGAACAGCTCCGGACGACACCGCGGCGGACCAAGACACGTGCATCGAGTTCTTGGACTCCAAGCCACAGGCGTCCGTCCTGTTCGTGTCGTTCGGGTCGCAGAACTCGATCCCGGCGTCGCAGATGATGGATCTGGCGCGGGGGCTTGAGGCCAGCGGGCGTCCGTTCATCTGGGTGGTGCGTCCACCGGTGGAGTCCGACGGGGCGAAGGAGTTCCGAGCCGATTGGCTCCCCGACGGCTTCGAGGAGCGGGTCGCGGCCGCGGGGCAGGGCGTGGTGGTGCGCGGGTGGGCGCCGCAGGTGCGCATCCTGGCGCACGCGTCCACGGGCGCGTTCCTGAGCCACTGCGGGTGGAACTCGGTGCTGGAGAGCCTGTGGCACGGTGTCCCGGTGGTGGCATGGCCGCTCCTCGCCGACCAGCTGTTCGATTCCCGCGTGCTGGTGGAGCTCGGCGTCGCCGTGGAGGTGGCGTCCGGGAGGTTGGTCGGCGGTCTGGGCAGCAAGGGGTGGGAGTGCGTCAGAGACGTCGTGGAGACGGTGCTCGGGGACGGCGACAAGGCCAGGGACATGCGGCAGAAGGCTGCCGAGATGAAGAAACTGGTGCGCGCGGTTGTCGGCGGAGACGCAGACGGCGACGGCAAGGGCTCGTCCGTGCTCGCCATGGAGCGCCTCCTCGATAGCGCCTTCGACTGATCGTGTCAAATTTGTTGTTGGGAACACAAAACTTAAATTTGTTGAAACTTCACGTTTCAAACGAATTGAACGGCGTTGTCAGTACTTGCAGCTGTATTACGGTGTCCTACTGTACTAGCAGAAGCTTGTGTTCTACTTTATCGCTGTCAGTTTGTCACCGGTTGGTTGTCCGTACCAGCATGACAACAAGGATTCAAGGAAGCCGGAAGTCTTATCGGAATCTCTACTACGCGACCTG